ACAGCTCACAGTTGGTAAGACATGCGTTCCTCGAATTATGAAGGTATGAGAATCCAAATATTTCAGCCTGTTGCTGAGGAGTTTCCACATGACAAGAGAAATAGCCGAGGGGTATTGTTGTGGACTCGGCTGTCCTAATGTTACAGATTATACTGTAGCTGAGAATTCTCTTAGTCTTGGCTGTGAGCTCAACCAGCCTGAAGCAGAGGTGGAGAAGACCAGACTTCTCCCCGCTGCAGCCCAGGCGTGTGTTGGTGCTGCCGAGCTCCAGGCAACGCTCCAATCCGACCAGATGTAAAAACTATCCAGCTCACCAGGGAATTCCCTTACCTCCCCTCTGAGTCAGAGTGCAGGCTTTCCCCAGCTCTCTCTCTCTCTGTTTGTCTGTCTGTCTGTCTCTCTCTATTTTCCCTGCCTCTAGCACTCATTCCATCCATGGAAAGCAGGGCAAGCCAGAACGCACACTGCGATAGGTGCGCCAGGTATGTCTTCCTAGTCCTCCGCCAAAAAAGTGGTTTGGACAAACCGAAACACTGACACAACCTCAACACATACATATAATAAAAACCATGCGCAACTAAGCAAAAGAAGATGGAAAGTTTCAGAAATGCCCATATTGTGGCTGTGCAGAGGGTACAACTCTCCATTGCACAGAAAAAAATGATAAGGCCTATTAAAAATACAAGTCAACAATAATTACCATTGAAAAGAATGTTTACGTTACAGCAGAATCAAAAATGCGGACTTGAGGTTTTTGAGTCTATCATTATCTAGCTCCAGTCTGAATTCTTTACTCTTCCTATGTGTGGTCTATGATGAACTAAAAAACTAGGAAAAGCTGCTGTCCTCATTAATCCATTGAAAGAATAAATCAAGTTTATTCATAAAGTCACATAAATACATAAAACCTTTTGTTGGGATCCAGAGACACTGACCCTACGCTTGGTGTATACTCACTAAACAAGAGTCAACACCAGGGCAGGATCTCATCACTTCTATCCTCCGATGTCTCAGTACACAAGGTCACAAGCAGGATTTCTAAGGAAGCCCTGCCTCCCCTCTTCCTCTCCTCTTCCTCCCCTCTTCCTCCCCTCTTTCTCTTCCCTCTACCTACCCTCTGAGGGTCTTGTCTTTTCCGTTTCACCCCTCCACAGGGAATCCCTTGTGGATGACTCACTGAAAACACTTCCTACTGAACAACGCAAACAGGCCCACGGGCTAACAGCAGCGGCGTGCGCACACGTACACAACAACAAACACACACATGCACTGGATGCGCACAGTTTGCATCAGTTATCCTGTGGGTTATGGAGTGGAGCAGTGGGGCTGGACATGGCATTTGAAAAGTAGAAGTAATTATTTTTCGAGGCGCATTAAGGTCTCCCGCAGTGGCAACAGCTATGAGCTGTGCTCATTTGATACTGAGGACATCTCAGGGGGGGGACAGAGAGACAATCAAAACAACACAGGGAGAGGGAGAGGAGGATTAAAGTGGCAGCGGAAAACCAACAAAGAGAAACTATGATTTACTGTACTGGTACAGCAGGTTAAAAGAATAAATATACGTAGGTATTTCGAAAGGTCTCCCATTTATCTACTTTCCCATTAAGAGATAACACCAAAATGAACTATTTGCCCTTCAGAGATCATTTGTACTGTGGCATGTAATCATTAAAACAAACACTACTGTATGTTCCCACCAGTTTCTAGCTTTTAAAAAGTCTGTATCACCCATATTTACTATCTTTTTCACAAATCTTAAATTAACATCTCTTAATGTTTATCAGATTTTATATTATTTTTCTCTCTTTTAGGATAATGCCAGGGGCTCGGGTCCCCAAACAGATGTAAACTAAAGTGGTAACATGGCGCACCAGTGTCAGTGATTTGCCAAGGACTGGTGGATGTTTTTGGTGTCTCTGTTCTTATTAACCAGAAAGTGTTAATGGAACAATCTCTCAAACGTTGGTGTCATCCATTATTTAAGACTTCAGTAATGAATTGATATCACTTCTGTTGTTTTCAGAGTGGCAGTTCAGAAACAGGCATCTGGGTATGTTTGTGCTAAAAGCAGCTACATCATTGAGTGTGTGAAAGCAAATGGAAACAGTTGAAGAAATACATGTATTTATGATTTATGGCCATCTCATTTGGGCTAATAGGCTTTTGTTCTGTGTGTGATCTCCGTCTGACTCAACTTGGACGATTTTAACTGAATGTAATTATTCACACAAGTTGGATTGGGACACTCAAAACCCGTCTGTTGCTCCTTAGGATTTGTGGAATTTTCTGGAAGGTGTTTATTGGAGTCAATTTTGGAAAATGAGCAGCCGTCCTGACCTTTGATGGCAGCGACAGTCATGGCTGTCACCACTGTGGCGAAAGCAGTGATTGGTGTTGTGCTGTACAAAGCGCTCGGCTGTGCATGCGCATGTGCGTGTCCCACTGTGTGTATAAGCACATGTCTGCGAGTAGTAATTATTGCGGTGCATTGCTCTGTATTTCATGGGTGCACTTAGTCATGAACTTTTCCAGAGGAAAATAAAACCAACATTATAGAATAAATCTGTAATATAATTATAATTTTATTGGATTCTTCTTTTTCCCTTATTCCAGTTTGGTCCTTCTAAATCAACAATCAGAGAAATTTTCAGTCTGTGAACCTTCATGAAACAGCAGGATTCTCTGATTAAAATGCCAAAAGACGATATTTTGCAGTATATCTGGGTCATAAGTACTTTTCCACACTCGTACTTGCTCATAGATAGTTGCCATTAGTGAGTGATGTGTGTGTTCCTGTGTGTGCATGTGTGTTGGTCTGTCCGTAATGGGCTCTTTGACTTAGGAGACCCTGGAAGTGGTGGGTCATTAAAGTTTACATAAAAGCAGACTAAGTAGTAGACAGACAACCTCTCTTTCGATCTCTCTCTCTCTCTCCTTCTCGACACCACAGAGACGGAAAACAAACCACTGAAATGTAGATGGCAGGCACGAGTGTGGGGATCCCGCTAGCGCAGAGCTCCACACTGGCTAATGTCTTTAACGGGTATCGAGGATAGAGGTAAGAAGGGTGGAGGATGAGGGAATGAAAGAAGAGAATAAGAGGAAGCAGGGGGGAAAGACAGAGAGGGGGTGAAAAAAGGGTAACACAACCTAGAAGGGGTCATGAGTCTCAAATAGCAGGGAGTGAGAGAGGCGAAGGTGTTGTGTATGTATGGGCTTTCCTCTCCAGGGGATCCCCCTCCATGACTAAGTAAAGCCAGGAGGAGGGAGACCCCATATTACCAAGTTCAACCACCTCCCCTTACCCCATCCCTACCTATCCCTTATCCCCTAAGGTGCTTAAGAGTACTCACACAGGGTGAGTAGAGAGAAGTCTTTTTTTAGCATGTCGTCCTTTTTCAGTCATTTTCAAGAACATATTTCTTTTTAATTTGAGGAAATTGAGTAATGACTAAAGCCAGTCTTTTTCCATTCTAATGATGAGACTCAATTTTACGTGAGCTTTGATGAACCAGTGATGAGGGTTCATATATTTTCTACTGATTCGGGTAATTAATTCATCATCGAAAGTAGGTAACTGAACATGATTTGGGAGAAGTGGAAAGTAAGTCCCATTTTCTCATGTACTGTACATACTAGGAGGACTTAAAAATGTCTGTTTTCCATGAAGAGGTTCCATACAAAACTGACTGTCAAGTATTTACTCTGATATCCAGCTTTATTTTTGTAAATAAGTCCACGTAGGGCGGAGGTCTGGGTGGATGGATGGGTCAAACAAACACAGGACTTTCACCTAAGAGACTGCTATGCGCGCCCTGTGTGAAACATGGCATTAACATTTTAACTTTCGTACATAACTTACGTAGCATACTTAGATGTCACGCACCTAACGTATTCAACTTACACCACATATATAGCAGAAGTTAACTTATGTACCTAACTTAACTTCACAACCGTAGTAATTTAACCTAAACTATGATCTTTTTTCTAAACCTAACCTAGTAGTTTTGGTGTTGAAACCTAAGCTAACAGTAATAGTAGTTATTGAATGTAACTCCAGTTCTATGAATATGTATGCCTGTTGCTGGTAGTCTCCATGGTCATGGTTAAATATGATGTTTTTTTGGAGTTATTAGTAAATGACATATTTTGCTGCATGAGGACGTGTTGATTTTGTCTGCTTTATTTTTAAATTTCACAAAAATCGCATTGTGACCTTGGTCTAGGAAGGATCAGAAGTGTAGATGGTGTTGAGGGTTATTAAGTATTTTTGTGAGTAACTAGATTCTTAACCAAAATCATCACCACAAATTGTGAAATCTATGATTAATCAATTGGTGGATACTATCAGAGCTGCTTCCCTCATCCCTCCTTACTTGTTGCTCATCATTAGCAGCATGGTAGTATTTCAACAGACTTCAGTGGTGTCACTGTGCTTGACCTTTGCTTTGATTTAATGGTTGCAATCCGGGAAATGATCATTCACTTGCAAACTTGATCAGTGTTTTTACCAGTGCTCCCTCCCACACAGGGAGGAAACGAATGGCTGAACAATCTGGACAAAATATAAAAAGAAACCCCATAATCATGAATCACAGATGCTCAGCTGGGGTGAGTATCCAGTAGAATGGGTGGAAGAGGGAGCTCCTGAAAGTAAGCGAGAGGGTTAAATGTCAAAAGCAAGGGATTCAGGGAGGGAGAGACAGCGAGGGAGAGAGGGAAAGTGAGAGAAAGAGACGTTGCACATGCCCTGGTTGTGATTCATTCCTTAACTTGTGGCGAGCACCAGTGAACAGGCAATGGAAACTTCAGCAAATGTAAATACGCTTTGGTTAAAAATATAGTGGCTTAATGCACACCACATGTGGCTCCTTGGCAGGGTCTGCTCTATTTTGACGGGAGGAGAGACTGAGGAAAGGCGATGGAGGCAGAGAGGGAGAGAGACATTCGAAAGAGATATTAAGAGGGGAAATTGAGAGGCAGTAAACATGGCTTACCCTGGGCCTTCTCCACGAACACCACCTTGGAGTCAGGGAGGAAGTTGAGGCCGCTCAGGAGCATCATTTTGCCTCCAGTGGCAGGGTAACTATCCACACTCTGTTTCTCCACCAAGGGAAGCTCCTGAGCTGAGCGCTGGGCTGTTTGAGGGGAAACACACACACACACACACACACACACACATTTCAATACAGTGTGTGAGCGCACATAAACTCACTGCCTGATCTCCATTCACTCCAAGAAGCACAAGCCCAGTGCAAAGCCAGTAAAACAGCAGTTCTTGGTTAGGAAAACATTCTTATCAACTTTATTATGATGATTTCATGACCCCTAGCTAAGAGGTTTTCAGCCAACAGCTGCTCTTTAAAATGATATCGAAAAAGGCGGACCACTGATCAAAACAACATTTTCATGATCTGATCCTTAGTCATAATTTTCCATCAAGAGGCCTACAGCCAACCACCTGTCTCTGCTTTCTATAACTGTAGTGAGCTAGTCACCTTTAGCCTCTGGGATTTGGTGACCAGATTCACAGCCAGAGTCTCATATATTTATTATCACAACTGTGCATTTAATCCATTATTATCCCATTGCACAATTTCAGAATAGGAACTCAAGTTCACAAATCGGATTAACATCCACTTTAGACCATAAACTACAATGCCAGCTCCATTTCACCATCTAACTTTAATTGGCTTCCTTGGGTGCAAATAACATCACACCTATATACACAAATGAATGACAAAGAAACAGAGGTTTCTTTCAATGCGTTCATTCAACCGCGCCAAAACTAGGGCTGGCAAATGACCTTTGTGGAACCTGTGCTAATGGGGTAGTCTTACCACAATAACTTGTGCATTCAGTCATAAAATGTGAATTGAGATAGATAACACGTGTGTCTGGCATGGTGTACAATGCATCTATTGCCTTGGCAAATTGCTTTGATCATATAAAGCTTATTGGCTGCAGAGGCGCTGAATTTGCTCCAGCAGGTAATAAAATAGCAGCTCAGTTTATTGGATTACAACAATAGATGCCACCTTTTGCTTAAGTGGAAAGCCAAGAGAAAAGGCATGCCAGTTTGTGAGTTTGTTTCTGTGTGTGTGTGTGACTTACAGCATTCAATGGGGTTTGAAGCAACCTGTAGGGACACCGTCCTGCCGTTGGGCTGGTTGATGTGCACTCGGAACACCAATCTCACACGCGTGTTTTTACGTCCGATGTCCGTCTCTCCTTTGCGAAGCTCAATGTCTGAATTGCGCAGCTTCAGGATCCCTGCACAATCAATTCTGCAACAGAGGCAGGGGAGGGCACAATTCAACACCATATCTAAAGATGACATTATTCAAGATAATGGAAAATCATTTTGGGGTTCAAGGCAGATCTGTATGCTATTACAAAGCAATTATCTCAAGAAAGCATCAGTCACTGCTTTTCTTACTACCCAATGTATGGTCACGCAGGACGCTCCCCTACAGAATATTTTTAACTGGAGGCACTGTATGGACAAAGGCTGACATGAGAGCAGTTTTGATTTAGACACTGAGCAGAGTAGCACATCAAGACCAGCAGTAAAGTCCCCGCTGGTGTTACAGATCACACACTGGAAATCTGCTGGAGCGTGACCGTGTCATTATTAATCCAGCATGTCATCAAAGACAGAGTTGGACATTAATGACTTCACATCGCAGTTTTAAAGGGTCACGGTGGTCCAAGAATTAGCCGTTCTCTGGAGGAATCCTCTGGACTGAGCACACCACCATCAAACAAAGTCCCATCAGCTGCAGTCAGTATACACAAAGTCACTTTATTGCTATCAGAGTGCAGCAAACCTCTCCAGTCCCTTCACACCACTGAAGCCTTACACTTCATATGTTTAAAACCCCTGCGTGTCGTTGCCATGTGTAGCATTAGTCTTTTTTTAAGCTGTCTGTCTTTAGTTCATTTTGCAGTTCGGGAGGTAAAGGCATAAATTTTCTTTCCCTTTTCTTAGTGGAAAAAAGGCTTTCATTTTCAGACATAACCTTTCGTGAATTTAAATGAAACTAGTGTGGCTGGTAAAAAAGCGAGGGAATACAAATGGGATATGGTTTGGCATTTCAATTATTTTACATGGTAGCTTGTTGGCACTCTTCCTGGAACATGGTAAATGTCAGGTTTTATACTAATTCATTTCTCCCCTTGACTTTGGTTTGGACAGTCTGAATAAAAAAGAAAAAATAACATGTAATGCTGACTACCCACACCTTATCAACTGTAAGTAAGTGATGTGTGGTGAATTTAGTTTTAAAGCATAAACAAGTTGATGGACATCATGGATTATCTTGAAGTCAGTTTTCATAGACTAGTCTTCTCTGCCAGCAATGTAACAAGACAGTCAAAAATGTATTCTAAGCATCACCTTACTGATAAGGTTACAGGCATTTATGATCAAACAGCATGATATGAATTCGCAGAAGGGTACGTACTATTTTAAATTAAGCTACCGTATGTGTTTGAGATGGATTTTCCTAGAAAAGGAGAGAAAGAGATTGAAACTGTCTGAAAGTTTGATTGCAGTCCCCCACTGTCTGCATCCCACACAGCGAGCAAATGATTGCTGGCACGAGAGCAGAGGGATGGATGCTGCGTTATCAAGGCGACTGTTAAACAGCTCAGTGGAAAGAGACAGTTAAAGGCTTTTCTTTGACCTTTCAGATAGTCGGGGGAGAAAGAGAGAACTTTCACTCCTCTTCCTTTAGCGTGTGCGCTGACGACAAAGGGGAACAGAAACTTCCTCTAGAATATTTTTTCAATATCATATTCATCCCGAGGGACAGATTAAGTCAAATGGGTGAGGGGCGACCCTAAATATGATACAATATAAGGGATATTGTGGTATTGTTGGAAATGATATTGTAAGGCAGTGCGCATGTTAAAATCATCCACGCTCCAGAAGACAACTGCCCTGAAACTTTTATGTCCTATTAATATCCAGAATCTTCTGCATTTACACAAACATTCATTAGAGATGCATTAAATCATTATATAGGCTAGTATTTTTACAAAAAAATCAAGTCTTTTAAAATTTCAAACAACGACAGATAAATTTGAGGTGCAGTAAGAGGTAAAGGTCTTATGTAACCTATGCAGTGGTTTTATCCATAAGCCAGAGTTCTGGGCCCCAGTCCAAAATAATTCACTGCAGCCTTGTCTGAATGGAGCCCCAGGACAGGAGCTGCTGCCTGGACACACCGCAGAGCACAGTCCCTTAGATTACTGCAAGTCTGGAGGAAGGATGCGAGAGGCCATGGCTGAGTTAGCTAACGTATTAAAAGGTAAACTAAAGTTATATTTAGGAGAGATCTTCATGCAATTTTAACCACACTTTCACTAAGTAAAATATGTCTAGAAATTTCTGATTCAGCTTATAGACCACCACAACTCAAAATGAGCAGATGGCCACCTTAATTTGAGACAAAGTTAGCTTGTTAGCTAGCTCATTTTGCAGTACACACTAACATTAGCATTTATGTTAGCCTTAATTTATATGCCAACATTTGTCGTAGTAAATGTTGGCAAGCAATGGCAAATTGTGTGTCATTACAACCTTCAAGTGCTACAGGGCTAACGTTAGCTAACGATACTTTAGCTGTCAACGTTAGCTGAAGAATGGAAACACAAGAGCTACAACAGCTTACAATAAGCTCAATTTGAATGTTTTAAAATGTCTCATGTTTACATTCACATAGTCTTTCCCTAAAAGTCTCTTGTTGGTCATGGTGTTACAGCTGAATAAGTTTTATTGTATTGTACTGTGTATGCAAGCTTACTGACACACTGTCATTTCTGGGACAACATAATTGAACGGCATCATCGTTACTGTTACTAGTAACACCTATGTTTTTCCCCACTGCGACAAGTCAAAATGGGTGCTATTGATATTACTAAGAGACATACATTTTACTCCATGAGTAATTTCCTTTATATATTTTTATGGTCTTAAATTAACATTGCTTTGCTTTTGCTAAATGGCTACCACAATTGCCAGTTCTGGGCCTTATGACTGCAGCATAATTTTGGGGTGGAGTATTCCTTTCACCAGACCTGTTAGTTCAGTAGACCGAATGACTGCGACGTCACCACATCCACCTAACACCTTCGAGGAAATGATTAGCCACTGTTTTGAATTGCAAATGTGTAAAATCAGCAAACTTTTTTATTTCTGTTGTCATCTTTAGCTCCAGGTGTAACTGTAACATTTAAAGATATGTAGTAAAACACCATGGTCCGACCTATCTGGCATTTCTGTTGTGCTTATTTTATGTACCCTGTTACTTTGCTAGCATCTTTGATAAACCTAAACTACCTGCATGGAAACTAAGCTGTGTTTTATGCTGCAAAAAACTAACCAATTCAGGCAGTGTTTGCGTAGTGCCGTTATATTTTATTTGTTTTCTACCTGGAAGTTATTAACATTGGGATTCATTCTATATACTCAACAGGCTGACAAATATTGACCAAGCTTAATGTAATGGGACTGCGGAACTCTCAGCATGTCATGGCTGTATTCTAGTTGTTACTTTTTAAGGTATTATTTGTGCAAATGTCCTATATTTGACACCCATGAGGGCTCCTGGTTGGACAATTACTTCGCAGCTGCAATAGCCTTTAGAGTCCCTGTATAGTTTGGTCAAAATTCAGTCACCCATGAACTCTGTGTGTTGACACATAATGGGCCTTTTCATTTCACTTCCTCAGAAACCATGCTTCTCTTCGGGTGAAAGCACAGATCTGAGTTTTGGAGGTCTATTCAGAAGTGTGCGCTGTACAGTACCTATCATCAAGCATTCTGTTTTTAGAACCAAAGCACATAGGAAGGTGCTGAGAGAGAGAAGAGTGTGTGTTTTTTGTGGGTGTGTTTCAAAGTAGGGGATATCAGTGAGAAATGTGAAAAGAAAAAGATTGATAGGCGACTCATGGAGGTCCAGGAGCACTCACATGGCTCTCATGTTGTTTTCAGGCAGCAGAGGGATCTCCAGAACTTTGGTGTTGGATTGCATGACTTCATGGCTGGCAGTGGAGACGGTCTTGCCAGTGATGCGGTGAACCTGGTAGAAGGCATGTGGTCGCAGGAGGCGGTCGTCTGCGGTCCCTATGAACAGCTGGAGGGTGAGCGGCTCGCTTTCCATGTAGCCATAAAGCTGGCGGGAGAACAAAGGTACCCAGGTGAGAGGCAACATCAGATTTTAAGACCCACATCTCAGGCAACCCCTCATTTAGGAAATAGAGATTGAATGCACATCAGCTACTGATAGTTAAAGGGGCCTTTAATGATAGCTCTGACATGGTAGAGGGGCTGCAAAAATAAGCCCCTTTTCTTTGTTTGTTTTTAGGTTGGGAAGGAGACCCTCTTTTCGATGGTCTTTGTTCTTTTTTTTTTAACTAGTTTTACATTCCTTTAGGAGAGAGTAAAAGAAAGTTTTTGGATGTCTCTGAGTCTGTCTGGGGTAAGGAACTCCTTGTTACAGAGATATGGAGGCTGATGGAGAGGCCGGCTTCCCATCACTTCACTGTTCATTAAAATCTCACTGCTGCTATTTAAAAAAAGTGCCTACAGAGAGGCAAGCAGTCAAAAGTGACTCAGTGGAAAGTGACCTTAGATAAAATAAGAAACCAGGGCAATCGTCTTAGGTCTACCTCAAGAGACGTTTTTGGACCGGAGCATCTTTTTCATAGTTGAACGAACCCACTTCTAAGAACCCCCTTTTTTGTTGTGTTCATACTGCAAGAACCGGGGTCCTCGTAGTCCTTAGAGCGCCATTTTGAGGGACTTTTTATAGAGTAGGTACTCCCACAGCACAAAAGTAGCCATGAGTGACTTAAGTGTACAACAACGGTGAGACCAATTCAACACCAGCAACCGCCATTTTTAAAAACACACACAACAGCTCGAATTGAAAATAAAAAAAGAAAGAAAGAAAACACAGACAACTGGACTGACAGTGTAGCCTAGCCTTTGCCGAGCATATATTTGACGATGGAAATAGAATGGGATTTTGACTCTAAAGTGAAGCTGCTATGCCAGCTGCTGGCTAGCTTACGATAGGTGACTTTAGTATTCTTTTTAGCGGTGCAAATGCAGACAAAAAAAACCCCTTGAAGGTACATATTTCCGGAGGAGGTCCCCAGTAGGTCGTACCTCTCAGGAAGTACCCAGAACAGTTTGGTCCAAAAATGCCTGTGGTGAGATCGATAAAGTTTATATAGTTTGATAGGCTCCCTGTATGTATGAGTTGAAGCTGCAGGATGGAATGAAAATTCAAACACTGACAAACAGTACTTTAATATCATTAGTGTAAATAAAATGTAAACAAAATATTTTCTGTCTTTCTATGACAAATATTAACATAATGGTACAGTTGTTGCCAAATTCATCAAACTTTACAGCTAAATAAAATAACACCCAAACACTTCATGGAGCTTGGAATGCAGACGGGACCCAGCCCCTTTACCTTTGGGCAGTTATGAACATGCATTATGATTTCCATTAAAGCTCCGAGACTGTGTCCCACTGTGATGAAAGAGACTCCTGTATCAGAACCACCACTTCAAACAACTACCACTTCCTCTTGAAGGCCTCCATTAGCTGCTACTGCTCAAGTAATAAAAAGATCAAATCTTTTAAAAAAGAAGAAAAACTCCACAGCCACACATAGTTTGAAAAGTACTGTTGACTTTTGGGGTCAACAGCACTTCAAATATAAAGTGTAACTGCCAATTTACATTCAGCATCCCTGGATTATTTTCTGACAGTGTCTAATGTAACATTATTTGATGATTTAACCGAGTGTGTAATGGGTCAAAAATATGAACACACAGGCAGGTCCCAAATTCAAAAGCGTGGTGAAGGAGAGCTGATACTTTGTGAGGGATTTCTGACCAGAATACTTTACCAACCAAATGTGGATTTCTGTTGGAACTGAGTTTTACACTGCAGACCTCCCAGGATATACTTGCTCTGTGCAGTGGTCATTCGGTCATATGGGCGGATGTTGGTGTGGACTCAGAAATCTGAAAACTGCAGAATCCATCTAGTTCAAACTGAGAGAAAACTGAGAGCTTCTCATCGAGTGGACCTCCGCGGATCCACCCAGGTGGCTACTTGACCGCATGTGACATTTACTGTGAGGGATCACTTACTGTAGACCAAGTTTCACTAGGCCACGGCCATCTGAAAAATCCCACAAATTGGTCAATTACCCCGGCGCATACCAACGCATCGCTTCAGACCAATTTTCTTTGAGATCCATCCGAGTGAAAGCAGTGGTACCGTGGAATGGAATAAAAGACCCCTGTTGTTTATCTAAAAGACTGAGTCATATAACAAAATGCAGACCACATGTAACCTATGACATAATCTGATTAATGGGTTTATAATCATCTCTGTGAAAGCGGTCAGAGCTGGGGTGTGAGGAAGAGGTAGGCTGGTGGAGGACTGGGGAGCTACGTCATTAGTAGTCTGTGGAAATTAGTGCTGCAGTGTCATGGACACCTAATGTCTTTGGTTTGAGAACAAATTTGTCTGGATACTGTATTAAAAGTTGTCTGGTCCGATAATAAACTTGAAGGTTAAACGCCTTTGGTCTGTACTTGATGACAGATCTTTTGGATTTGGGACAAGGCAGAGGATGTGTTCTTTTTCTTCCCACTAGAACAAATTTCAGAATTAATTACGTTGACTAAAAATAGGACATGACTAGCTGCTGGAGTAAAGCATATATCCATATGTCTCAATAATCTGAGCAAGAATGGTTATCTGGCTTTGCTTTGATTCAGATATCGTTGAAGTGCAAAGGGAGTGGTAAAGCTAAGGCTGTCATTCATCTCCATTTCCAACCATCCTATTTTTCTCTTCAGCTCCACATAGTGTCTCTAGCAGCTGTCTTGACCCTGTGAGCTAGTCACACATGCTAGTCATCAGTGAGTTAGGCCGAGGTCAGGAGCTTCTTGAAGTCTTGGCATCCCAAGGGACCACTTCATCTATGTGGTGATCTCACCAGCAGACCCCGCTCTGCTTGTTATATTTTACTTATGGTGTCACCAGAGGTAATTATCCATAGCCACACATGCTACCAGTTACTTGTGTATTGACTCGTGAGAGCACTATAGTGGAGGCACAAATCCGAAACACCGGAGCGTTAAATTGCATGACGTTCCCTTATGATTTAATAAAACGCAGGCAGCCGCGCTACAAAGCCGTGTCGTCTGTCACTTTTGCCTCGGCAGACTTCTTTGGATATCTCGGTGACCTCCAACCATTACCTCAGCCGCCACGTGGCTGTAAGGAGGCCCACAAGAGAGGCAGGGGGGAGAGGGGGGTCTTTATCCCTTCACTCGTCTTGCGGTAGCGCACTATGACGGTGGCATCCACACTCAAAGCCGTAGTGACCTCATGAAGGAGAGGAAGTGATTAATGAGGTCAGGTAGTCCTCTTGGTGACGCTGGTCTTCCCAGCAGCAAAGGAACGTGGTCTAGTCCCCCCTAGGCGACCTCCCCCGATCCCTTTACCATATGTGCTCCTCTGACCCTCTCCCTCTTTGCTTCAGCTAAACTCCTTGTGATGCTCACTCAAATGCGCACCACAAGCAGAGCGCAAAACTTACTTCTTCATTTAATTCTCAAAGGGGGGATAAGATGAGGAAAAAAAGCGGAGATAGTGTCGTAAACTTTAAGCGTGGGCTGACGACAGAGGCTTCACACACACCTGTGACCTCAGCTCTGTATTTGTGTCTAATGCAGCCTGTGAGGTTGGAGCAGAGCAAGGCTAATTTTGACCAGATGAGCTTTTCGAGCTGTAACTGCAGCATATCTGGCAAACGTACCGTATATTTATTTTTGAGATAATCTAAACCGAGTTTGAATCGAGCCTTGATTTGCAGCTGTTTCAGGGTGCCAACTTCTGCCACTGTGTCAGCTAGATCCATTTACACCTCCCACCGCAAGCCACTGCTGCACGAGCCATTTCTGATAGCTGAGGCTCAAGTAAAACATTGTGGATATGGCAGCTGATGCATTAATTGTGTAATTGTAAGCAGCTGTATTGTCTGGGTCAGTTGGGATGATGTGGAGGGGTGTCGAGCTAAAAAAAAGGAGAGGAGGGTACATCCTGTCCACTTTCCACCATTCATCTCTTGGTCCCTTTGGACCATTACAGATACATCATTGGTATCAAAAGTTTCAGACCCTGATACACAGCCCCCAAAGCTTTTTTTCCCTCAATTTTTTTACTCACTCAAAATCTATTGTAATAAAATAACATCAGAGGGTGTTTTTTAACTGTTTTTTTTTTCATAGCACATTTTCTCTTTCAATTTCTTTAGTTGCAGTGACATTCTCAATGCTGCCTACGCCTGGCTTAGATAGTCCAAAGAAAGGATTTAAACATGTAATATTTAATAATGACTTGCTGGTTAATTAGATGTGTCTGGCCTTGCTAGAAATTGAGAGTGAATACACTCTACAGGCCTGCAGTGGGCTGCCTTCTATCCCTCCGCAGTGATTTCATCACTGCCTGGAGAAATGTCATGACTCGAAGAGGTCCACGTGGCGCAGAGAATTGGGGGAGAGGAGAAGCAGGAGACGACTGGAAGCAGCAGAGGAGGAGAAGGGGGGCGTGGGGTGGGGACTGAAGCAGGGGAGGAGAAATACAACAGCAGATTCAGGCTTTTTCCCATTATCACGCTCCTCTCTCTCTGTCAAGTGCTGACAGTCACACAGCCAGCCTTTGCTGTATCCAATTAAATGTACACTCATCCAAGTTGTCTCTCCTTCCAGACTTTACTCCATCACCCCTCTGCCCCTGCTAATGTCTCCAGTGCCTCGTATTGAATGCGTAAGGCAACATATGCAATCCTTTAATGCAATGCATATCCATAGCTCAGAAAGCTGCTCCTTTTTTATAAGCAACCAAACAGCTATATCCCTCAAAGTTTTTGTTGAACCGAGCCCTATAGTGTTATGTCATTGAGGGCATAGTTTCAAGCACAAGCCCATGTCTAGACCAGTGAGGGTCCAAATTCCATATAAAAAGAATGGCTACGTTACCCACACAGCCTGCCATTAGAAATATCATCCAAACCTACGGAGGATTTGAGTAAGATGATGCACGGATGATTGCTGTGCCCCCCAATAGCACAAGTCCCCACCAGCGTCTTAGCCCATAAATCTGCGGGCTGTCTGGTTATCACCTCAAACCAGTGAAAACGATGCACATTTCGCTCCATTTTTTCCACTTGCTATTAACCGGTAATTAGTGGTAGCCCAATACCAGTGTAAGGGAAGCCCCGCAGATGGAGAACCGCAATTTAAGAGTGGCATAAATACCCCCTTGGGCAACGAATAACAGCCCTGACTAAGCTGTAACAGCACTACAGGGTACGCCGGGCCTTTTGAATATCAAACAAGAGGCGGCAGTATTTAATGAGCAATTAGCAGCTACAGTGTAGGATGCTGTAGATCAGAGGGTTTTCTTTGAGACATTACGCAGCCAGCAAGCACCGGATCCCAAGGTGAAACCGCACATGCGAAGAGCCGAGTGCACGTATGCCTAGGTCTTTCATGTTGTCGTGGCGGAAACATACTGCAAATTTGATGTGCATTACATACAGTTGCAGAGGAAGGGAGATGGGTATTAAGTCACGCACACGTTAATAGGGATGATGGCCACATCCTGCTGAAATTACACCATGTCTGTTGCTGCTTTAAATTTAATGAGAGGCTGAGTGTGTGTATGCGTGAGGGGGGAAAGCCCTATAGGCCAGTCATTATCCTATACGAACTCACCATATGCAGGACTGCAGTGTGCACTGCTCGATAGGTTTAATACTCCACAGGTGTTGCTGTCTGCTGTAACTAAGGGTCTGGCGGATGTCTGTGTGTTTCCTGACTGAGGTTGAACCTGAAGGCCTTTGCAACATCTTCAACTGAACCATATTTTAGATCAGAGCCGGGTCACATCCTCGGTCACTATATTCTCAATTAACGTAATCCACTGTTCTCCTTTGAACAAAACCATCAATCAATGTTGTGGTGACCAAAGGTAGACCAGGTTTTTTTTTTACTGCGCAAAATCATCTTGTAGACGTTTGGCATAGCTGTGGTAAGAGAGGGGAGAGTCTGGAGCAGTGTGAGAGGAGCCGATAGAGTACCCTAGATCCCCTTAATGGCGCTGTGGTCTGCTGCAGTAAATAAAGTGGAAAAGCAGCCACGGGGGTCACAGAGTGGACCAATCAAAAGAGAGGAGGTTAAAAGGCTGTGGATGCGGAAAAGGGGAGGGGGAAGGATGGAGTGCAAGTCCAGAATAAATGGAGATTTGGAACAGGAAGCGCAGAGAGCCGGTGCAAGCAGCAGAGAGGTAATGAGTCGAGGTAACCCATAATCTGGAGGTTTTCATCGGTGTGTGGCTGGAGTGCAGACACTCCATTCTCCCAATCCCACAATGGGTGTGTGGGGAAAAGCACCGAGTGTGGTGTGGTTGAGCTGCTGCAGCTTAGGATGATGTCAGAGCATATAGATGCTAAACCTTCCTGTGCGCTTGTCAAAAAAAACACCTCTGCTTGTTATTGAATAACAAGACAACAACAGTAATTGAGCAGTCGAGTGTCATGGTTTGATTATCTGTCAGTTGCTGTCTCTCCCGGGAACGTCGTAAGATGAAGAAACAGTGTGTCCCTTCATGTTTTTCATCTTGCTCCACTGTCGCTTTCCAACACACATGTCACCATCACTCATAGCCCGTGTGTCTGATCATCCATGAGCTTAAAAAAACATGAGCTATGGATGACTGGGCTTCAGCAGAGGGAGGCCTGTTGGTGCTGGTTTGGGAAATGGTTGAAGGACGAATGGCTCACAAGGAGTGACATCCTCGCCCCCCTCCAGGGAGAGAGGGAGGGAGGCACCAGTGCATGGAAAAGGGGAGGTGGTGTCCGATGGGTGCTGGCTGGGACTCCTACCCGCCAACCCCCGCCACCACTATGCTCAGTCAACCTCAGTGCCACCCAGGCCCTAATCAGCAGGATGCAGAGCATCTCCAGGGGCAGCCAAGCCAAGCCCCAGCTGCCTGGTGACTCCCTATGCCCCTTCTCTCTCCCTTTCTTTCTACTCACTCTGGTCCAAAGCATAAACACACACACAGACACTTCCTTAGCTGCTTCCTACACTCGTGTCCCTGTGTCATTATTGACTCATTCTCCTTGACTGCACCTCACCCATCCAGCGCCTGCACTCATTAACACTGTGCAGCGGGGACTATAACATGCTCTATCCTCTAAGATAACAAAATTTCACTGCAACAAAGACTAAGAGAAGCAACTGTGCAAAAACTCCCTGAAGATACAGTATATGCTCTCCTTCATTCTACCCTCTAGCATGTACACATGATTGCGTAATCCTTATAGATTTATCTTTCTATCAACTGCCATGCTTCCAGTGGTTTCCACTGTCATGACACCCTCAAGATATTGCGACTGACCGCACATGCAGGCACATAAATCACTCCTCAAAAGTAAGACTAAAGTGTGAGCTATGCGAGTGAAGGGGGAGGTGTGACAGTAAAGCAGCTGTCATCATATTTCCTCCATGACTACTACTTACTAATAATTGCTCGACATACACAGTAAGACTTGAAAACATCCTCGCAAAGTTGGCAATAAATCGGCGCCCGTGTAGAATGAAATAAACACCCCGAGTCATCGATCTAAATCAGGACAACACTGTGTATGCAAAGAGACACAGGACGCTTACTCATGAATTTTGTTCTCGGGCCCCCAGAGTGAGTCACAAAGTGGTGTAAACTAAATGAAAAGCAGCCTCACCTGCCACAGCTGTGCATGGCAGAGCAAGTCTGGTCAGCCTCACGGGTAAAATGTTGATTCACCCGCATGTGGATACACAAAGGTTTGTAATGAAGGAGAGTAATTGGCTGTATTTACAGAGAAAACCTGAAGTCTGACAGGCCTGTGTATAACACCACGTCGGCCAACAGCTGTCAAGCGCGTTTGACATCGAGCAGACCAGGATGTGTTGACAACATCTATTTACAAAACAGCTTTGGCACTTACAATGTCTAATGCTAAAGTGTGTGACAAGGAAAGACCACCAACCTGACTGTACTGGACCAAAAAAATTGTTTTCTCAGGGTGCAGTGTTTGGCTGCAGAATAAGATCTGCTACCTGAAATCTTTAAATCCAGTTCATAACAAAATCATCATCAGTGAACGCCACTGTGTTAAGATGCACCTTTATTTTGAATTGACGACATTAAAGGCAAATTGACACTTAACCTTAAGGACACACGAACACATGCACACTGCTAGATCCCCACCTTGAGTAAACCTAGATGTCAGCGCAAGTGTGATGACAGTGTAGCAGAGAAAGGAGCTCTGTGCTGCCGGCGAGGCTGACGTGTGCTCTTTAAGTGTTCGCCAAGCACAATAGTGAGAGGCGATGGTCCTGCTCTATACTAATTGAGTCAGCATGCACTGCTGCTGCTTAGGGCGACCTTTTGCAGAAGTAGATTGACTCCTGGCTTCAGGGAACATTTATAAATCAGCATACAAGCACATGCAAAAACATAAAGACAGTTGTGTGTGTATACAGAAGTGACAGAAATGGCTTGAGGGCTTTTGAGATCTGCTTAAGTGGCCTAACAAGTTTGCAGAGGTGACGTAAAGACACTGAATTTTCTGTAAGTTTAAAACAATTTACTGGTAGGTTATTTTTACTGTGGTTAATCTTCTGGGGCAAACGTTAGTAGACAAAGACAGATTGCTCAGTTCTGATTTTCTTGGGAGATCTGATGTGAGTCACATATTAATTCTGCAGAATGAGCCACAGAGATTTTTGCAGATGATAATGATCTGAAAGGAAGTTTACAAGTACAGAATTAAGTCTGACCACTCAAATCTGATTTGATTTTTCTGAAGGAAAAAAGCAAGAAAGAAATGTCATGGCTGCTCTGACTTTGCTCTGAGACTTTATGGTGTCAAAAAGTCAGCAACAGCCAAACTTCCATGTCACTAGTTTGTTGTTGGACAGAAAAAAAAATACTGCCATTAATCAGTCAGCCTGCACTTCTCTGCCTGTTCCCACTTATGCTGTAATGACAGCAAATTATTACACAGTTCAAATACACAAAGCTAACCTTGTTTCTGATAAACACAAGTGTGTACAGTGACTCTAAAAAGAACATTTCCTGGCTAACATAGTGCTGGTGACATACCTGTACTACAGGGTGGCTGCCACACAGCGCCTTCACCGCCCCTCGGCTGCCTTCGGTCTCATAGTGGGCCCTGTGGTGGGACTTTGGCTGCACCTCAATCTGTAGGCTGTACGGGCCGGAGCAGGACGGAAGCTGCCAGTCAAGAGCTGGCAGAGATGGGCTGCAATAAAATGACATCTTTTATTAGGATAAAATAGCAATACACAAAATGTCTGTTAATGCTAACTAATATAGCTTTGTAGTGATTTAACTTATAAAGATTTGCACTTCCTGTGCTCAACACATACTCTCTGGTTATTCTTTGCTCAAAAACAGGAAGTGCTGTGATTTGCATTTCCTCTTTGCTTGAAATAAAACCACAGAGGATGATTGTCTTTTTATCTTTTTTCTCTCTTTTTTATTCTATTCTATTCTTAAAACTGCAGACACATTTGATTTGCCAAAGTAGAAACTGCGGGGTTGCATTTTTTTCCGCGGTTCCATCACTGGAATCAGAAAGTTCTAAACTTGCTTTAAATTAGCCTCAAATTAGGACACTTTAGTGTAATCCAACTGGCTTGATCCTTCTCCATGTCATCATGGTCTGTAATCTAATCAATTGAAGTCATTCGTTGACGTGTGTAATTCCATGGGCCTGGGTAATAATTAGTGGCCCTTTTTTATGAAAAATAAATGAGAGACGAATGTGCCCTGGTTAGAGAGCAGTGTGTTTTGTATTATGGTGTGACAGGTGGAAACAGACACGGGGAGTTAAGAAAGTGACAGTGGGAGGAAAAGACATTTCTAGGGCACAAAAACAAATGTCACACACAACGGCAATCAGTCTGTCCCTTGATGCAGTTATTATCCATTCCATATTGACAACTGTAAAATTATAAAGCACAGCCATGGTAGTATTAAAGGAGCTTAATACGATATCCAGAGCTTTAATAAAGCAGAAAACTCTTTGCTTTGTAAAGATATAGTGGAGTAATGCGTCGTGAGCAGAGAATGAGGTCACACTACATCTGAGTATGTTGCAATTTGAGCTTCTCTGTTCTTTGTTGTGGTAGATGGTCTAGCCACATGTGCGTGTTAGTGCATGCGTGTCCTTGTGTGTGTATCTCCACTGTGCTTATACTCGCGGAAGCATAGTGCCCACACCCAGTCCCTGCACGGTTTACACTGTTAGCTCTGTCAGCACTGTTGCTCTTGTGAGCTCTGTCGGTGCTGTTAGCATCGTTAGCTGCCAGCTTCAGCCTCAGTCACCTCTATGTTGAGAGCTGTGTGCAGACAACCTCTGAATTATTTGTTTTTACAATTTTAACTTGCATTATTTTTGCTTGCACTCCATACATCTTAGGTATGCAGGCTCAGGGACTGTGCTGGACCATATGAATGCTTGTGTTTTTGAATATAGTGTTATTTATTTATGTTGCACCTCAATCCCAGAGGAATGCTCTCATTCTGCGTTGCTTAGAGATGTATGGTAAAATTACAGTAAACTGGATTGATTGACTCTGAACATCATATAGAGCTCCTTTAAAGACAGGGGAGTTATACCATGGAATAAGGTCAGCAAGCGCACCCTGCCTTGGAGCATGATATCTCTTTCTGAGAGCTACAGCTGGCCTCCCTTAACATCATTGTTCTCTGGGATGGAGAGTCAGAGCTTCCCATGTGAACACCGTGGAGATATCTAAACCAAAACAAACATGTGCAAGACAATATTTCGCCATGCCGGATGCCTGGTAAACGCAAACCCCTGACCTGAAGGGTGGCTCAGCTGAAAACAATCTCTGGCATCTCTGTGGAACTTGCAGGCTGTTTGTTGACCCAAAACGAACTGATTTCCCCCCACGGGGCTTTATCTGCCCAGTCAGTGCATGACATCAGGTTAGCTACACAGAAAGAGATGGGCTGATGGCGCGACAGGCCACAGCAGCGAGCCGGCTGATTAACCCACAGACTGCTTCCCCTTCAGTCAGGCCTGTCACCATTACTTCCTGTTGCTCGCTATCTTAATCAAACACTTGATTTCCGACAGAAGAGTGTGTTATTGGCTTGGGAAAAAAAGTGGACACAATTGAAAATGAAAAAGGCTTGTTTTGCTCAAAAGTCAAAATCAATGATATAGTTGAGTGCATGTGTGTATTTGTGTGATTGTGTCTATGTGTGTTATTATGTTCGTGTGGGGGTTGCCATAGCAACAGTGCCACACACATGCTGGGCAACTCCTCCCTGTGAAATATGATTTATGAAATAGTTTTCATCTTCAAAGAGAACTCCTTTGGAAGTGAAGAGCATGCAACTTTTGGATTTCTGCCTTTTGATATGGCCTTTGAAGATTAAAAACTACTGTAAAACTCAAAATCTTGTCCTTGCAATAAATTAACCACACTGACTGGACACAAATAGACAATGGAGCGAAGGAGTGGCATTATTGGATGAATTGTTTTTCCTTTGCACTCTCAAGTATTTAATCGGCAGAATGATAGAAGCACCGGTGATTGCTTCAATGCCTTCTCAAGGCAGTTTAGACACAGGACTAAAGGGTCAGTTTTACACAGTTCAGCTTTTTTACAGTTCTACTGTGTTGCTGGAGCAGCTCCACCTACCTGAGGTAAGGCTTGGGTTTAGACCACGGGTATGGGTGCTGGGGCACATCCAGGAACCCTCCACAGTAGTTCTCCTTCTTTAGGGCCAAGCGGGAGGGGTAGTCCTCATGGCAGAGCTCCCCCTCAGGACCCAGCACTTCGCCACCGGGCTCCACCTTCAGGCTCATGGAGGCTGAGTGGTCGAGCATAGTCTTCCGTGTCTTGATCGGGATTCCTTCCCCCATGTCGACCACTCCATCTGTGGTGAGAGCGTTAATGGCGGCCACGATGGCAGAGTTGGTGTACTGGTTGGTGTTGGCAAGCCAGTTCTCATCCGTGACGCTGACCCTGGGTGACCCATGTGGGGACGGGGTGGGCGACTGGTTGGGCGAGCAGGATGTCTGACGGTAGGTGGTGCCATTGAAGCTGTACTTTCTCTTCCCAATGCTGCCGCCACCACCGCCGTTGCCTCCACCGCCTCCACTGCAGGAAGGGGAGTTAGGCCTGGAGCCACGAGGTTGTGCTGGCCAGCCTTCCTCTGCCACGGCTCCTATCTGAGGCGAGGTGGAGGGTGAATGGTGAGGGGAAGCTACAGGGCCGCTGGCATGTGGGCAAGACATGAGCGATGATGAGCCTTTGGGAGATACGCAGGGAGACTGCCAGGGGGAGGTCTGTGGGGAGTTGTCATAATTGTAGAAGCCTGACTCGTAAGAGGACGCCTCCGAGTTGCAGCTACGTGAGGAAATGCTACTTGCGGGGCTGAGGCAGCTGGGATCACGGTAGCCGTCGGCATTGGGCAGTGTCAGCGTCACAATGGAGTTAACGCCTCGTTTGATGATGTGGTCCTCACTGCTGCTCTCTTCAACCTCATCCTCGGGATACTGGCTGTAGGCAGTGATCTCAATACGGGGGCTTTCCAGGGCAGGGGCCCCACTGGGTCTCAGGCCGTGGGGCAGGTAGTAGCCTGATGCTGCATGGTTATCATTTTGGAGGCTGTAGCCTGTCTGGTGGCAAGAGGAAACTGAGATGACTGGGCTGGACTGTAAGGTGTGGTACTGGGTGGCCAGACAAGGGTTGCCCATGCCCAGTGGAAGGGACAAGCTGACATTTGGTGTGTAGCTGTATGCATCTGGAAAAAAAAGAGTATATTGTAAGTATATGGAAGTATGACAAAATGCCACTGCAAATGCTCAGAACCATTACATTATGGCGGTAATTAAGTCTGATTACATTTTAGAACAATACCCCTACACAGATCTTACCAATATGCCTCACAGCGAATGACTGCCTGCCTTCTTTACAAACATCTGGAGAAGCTTAGCAATCATCTCTGAGCAGTTACTGTATGTGGTTGCTGTGTAGTCGCAAGTTGCACAGCCACTCTGTTTGTTTGATCAGTTCATCTAAGGCTCTATTTGGCACTCCCTGCTGTCATATGTACTCTACACGAATTCCTCCAGCAGCGCTGATGGATGCTTTATTTGATTGATTGCATCACTCACTGAGTGAATTAGGCCCTCCCCTGTGGAAAACTGACAGCACTCTCGCATCGCTCTGAGCTTGTGATTAAGTCAAAGAGAGTTTGCTGCAGCGTTACACACAGATGCGCCGTGGTACACACACACACAAACGAAAGGGCACGCACAAGCAAGCGCGCAAGGAAATAACTGGCAGACAAGTGCAATGACATACAAACTCAGTCAGTGGAGGCACATGTAGCCTGGCAGGTATGCCACTTCAGTTAGCCTTGTAGCGTCTGACTGCTGTGTCAACAGTTGTAATCCTCACGTCTTTTATTGATAACGTCAATGAGGGTAAAAGTGGTCGACGAATGAATACCACTCAGTCTGAAACCCCGTGAAGGGCATTCCCCTTGATGCAGCGCGCTATATTTGTTAACCACAATGCTGCGCATCACATGAAATGATGAATCTGTCACACACCGCGTAATATGTGGGTAGGCAGTCTAAAATTAGTTTATGAGAGTCTATTTTCAGAAGTGATAATGCGGTGTACATCAGACAAGTTCAATATATCACAAGTTCACTGAAGCCTAGGACACCTTGTTATAGGTTGCCAGTACCAATTGACACATATTACTCACAAAACAGAGACTTCAGAAAGTTATTATGAAATTATAATAAAATGAATCATCTTTTCTGGGGTTAGCAGACTGCTAAATGCAGACTCTTTTACACAGAGACACACTAACTTCTAAAGTCTCTTTGATCCCAGAACGCAGGAGTGCCCTCACACTCTGCAACATACAGGACATACAATAAAGAAAAGACGCCCTCCACTGCCCTCGAGTACCCACCTCTCTCAGGTACATCCTGGACACCTTGGCTGTACTCAAACACATAGCTGAAATCAAACTCCTGCTCTTCATGTGGGAAACTCATCTCGGCCCCAGTGATCATACACTAAGTTTCGACATAAACACTAGCGTATCCCTTGAGCTCAGTCTCCTCTGATGCTTTTCTCCTCTGGTTTACCCTCTTCTAGTGCTGAACAGATGATAATCTCCTGCCCACTCCACCCGGTGTGACACACCTCCTACTTCAGGCCTGACTGACTTTGCTTAGAGTTGCAGCTGTTATTCTTTTGTTTTTTTTCCCCCTTTTGAATGTGTGCACAGATCAGTGAGCTTCGCCGCAACATACTTGACTTCTTCTGCCACCCACTCAAACACACGCACTGGGGCTTTCACTCTTGTGTGCTGCATGATCTTGAAACTTGGCTTTTTCCGGGTCACACACATCACGTCTGCTGAACTAACAAAATCATCCCAGATCATAATTTTGTGGGGTGAAACAAATGAAAGAAAAAGAAAATGACTCACTCTTGCACTCAATTCAAAGCCTCTACAGTTGTTTGCAGTGCATTCAAAATGCGGCGCAAGCAGAGTTAATTTGAAAACACTGACTATTGCACAGATTATAGCGTGCTCTTTCTGTCCTCCACAATTTTTCTCAATTATGCTATCACGATCAAAACGCTCCCACCCCACAACCAAACCAGCGTGACTAAAGAATGGATGGGCTTATCCACAGGGATTGTGGTCGAGGCTGGGCTCAGACTGACGGGACCTCAGGGAGAGATAGGTGGTCGCCCACAGAAGTCATCTGCAGCCTCTGGAACTAAGAACCCAGGGGCCACTTATCACACATGGCTGCCTATGGGCTATGGCAAAACACCAGTAAAGTGTGTGGTGTGTGTGCTTGTGTCTACATGTCTATGTGTCTGAGTTTATGTATGATAATCAAGCAGCCCTCGGCATATTGCTGGAGCTGTGTGTGGTTAAGCACGTCTCATTGTCAAGCAAGCTACCCGGCATCCCTGAACGCACAGATCACAGCTCCCTCTCTCTCACACTCACACACACACACACACACACACACACACAC